CGGGGGGGAGGGGAGGGGGGCGGTGCCGCGCGCCGAGCGGACAATTAGCGGGCGCGCGCTGCTGCCTCTGCTTATGCTGTTAATTACATCTGGTGCCGCCTTGCCGTAAGATCGTTTCGGGCTCTGTAAAGTGCCCGAGAGCCAGCGTCAAACGGCGTCCCCCCCACAAATAGTTAGCGAGATCTCCGATGTGTTTCATCTTCCTGTTTGGCGGTTTTTTTTAGTAGAGTGTGCTGGAAAGGACACTGCAGGTGTGCCCGCACCTGACAGGGAAAGCGCTTCCATTGTCTTCTTAGAATATGGTTTACTTCTGTTTTTATTAACTTAGAGAAAACATTTTAAGCACTCCTTAACCCACAGGTTAATCTCCTGACTAAGCATTTTCAAACATGAAGTCTGATGAAAGACGTTAGGAGTGAACTGTCCGGTTTTTATTTATCTTCTCTAAAAGCTGGTTACCTGTCTTCCCTGTCTGCTCCTTGCCAGCCCTTGCTGTCTGTGCCAGTATGTGAGCCCATTGTCTGGGGAAGCCCAGCAGAAGTGTTTGATGGGAAGACATAGGAAGATAATTATAAGTTCTATATTTGCTATTTTAACTGAATGCAAACCATACCGTGGTTTCTGCCTGCATTTGTGCTTAGCTAATCACAGGCCTTAATTTAGAATGCAAATGTTTTTAGCATGCTGTTGTTCATGTCAGCTCTCGGAGAATAGATAAGTTTGCTTATTCATGCTACAGTAGGTCTGTAAGGGGCATTTTTGAGGTGTCAGGATGTTAAGTCGCGAGTCATTGGTTTTCTTTTAATTCTGAACCTTCAAAAATCTGTGCAATGACTGTAAGGTATGCTATCCTTTTCTAGAGAGAGTAGAAATTGTCGTGAAATGTTCTGTATATAAATACACTCCCATGCTACTTTCAGATGTCCTTTAGAGGATGACAATGAAGATAAAAGAAATAGTGTCTTTCATAGCATGGAAATAGTTTTATATTTATTAATACAAATACTAGTTGATCATTTTTAATAATGTTTCTTCAGTGCTGATGAAACACATCAAAGGTGCCCTTTGACCTGTGTCATGTACTTCATTATTGTATTGAGCATGCAGAACCAAATATTTTAGAACTAGATAAGCGATATTAAAGTTATTTTCTGTACCTTAGAGACATGCATTTTGCCTTCATGTGCCAGTTCCTGCTTGTCTTGCGTGAAATATGGGGACAAAGAGTTGTGGGGAATTAAAATGTGAACCTGTCTGAAATACAATTTATTATTTTGAATATCCAGGATTTGTTGTTGTGTAACAAGCCAAGGGAGTGGATGTGTCTTTTGTGTTAGGCCCTCTATTTGGATTTAGGGAAAGAACAGCCAAAAAAGTGATGGCCTAGAGAGCAGCGTTTGATTTGGAACCCATAACCTTTAGTAAATGTAGTGAAAATTCCAGTATCTGAACCCTCCTGATAATTTTAGCACAAGGTAGAAATAGACTAATGGCAAAAAGCAGCAATAAAATATGTATGTTCCTAGGCAGTATGACTGGGAGCACAACTATATCAGACAAATAAATGTAGCTATAATGTAAATAGACTCTAAACAGCTTACCAAACAGAGACTGGAGTGAGAAAAATAGGGTATTTTGTCTGAAACTGTTTCAGAGTTTGAATAACAGAGGAGCAAATGTACAATACATTAAAGAGGTGCAGTGGTTGGAGCAAGTAATGTCCTGGGTGAGGATTAAGTTAGGCCTGGAAATACTGACACATTTGCGGTGACAGTTGGAGGAGTAGGATTTTATATCTACTTACTACATTACACACTATGCAGCATAAATTATGTATCAACAGTATGTAGCCTGCTGCCATTCACACTGGAAATTATTTTAGAAACATTTGCTGCTGAGTTATGTAACCTAGCTTTCCTTTCCATTGCATTCTATCCACATTTGTGATGACAAACTAAATAAAGATGGTATTCACTTTTAGCTTGCTTAATTACATAAACAGCTACTGCATGTGCCTTTTAGTTTTACCATAAGGAAAGTAGAAGTGGAAAAAGCATGTCTGCTTTTAAACTGGCAAAGATTTGAAATTCACCCACAGGTTAATACCTTAACCTCAGAATCAAAAATGTAACCTGTGACTGTTCATCCTTTTCTATCAAATTTCTGCCTATTAAGATTGAATAAAATTTGGTTTGCTTATCAGGGCAGAGAATAAAAGAAAAAAAATCCTCTCTTGGTTCCTTTTTAATCCCCCCATATTTATTTGAGTGTTATTGTTCTATATACTTAAATGAAAAATGCAGTGCAATTGCATGGTTATACAAGTTACCCTTTGCCTCATATAAATTTTATTTTTAACTGTTTTTTCAAAAATTTCTTAATATCATCATTTATCATCAATGACATGATTTATCATTAGTGCTGTCTAACAGGGGAGGTCACGGACGACTGCAGGTTGGCCAATTTGATGACCATCCACAGGAAGAGCTGGAAGGAGGATCTAGGGAACTACAGGCCTGTCAGCCTGACCTTGGTGTTGGGGAAGGTCATGGAACAGATGACCTTGAGTGCCATTATGTGCCACTTGAAGGGCAAACAGAGGATCAGGCTCAGCCTGCATGGATTTGGAAAAGCGGGTTCTGTGTGATCAACATGATTGCCTTTCATGAGCAGGTGACCTGCCCGGTTGATTAGGGAAGGGCTGTGGCTGTAGCCTACCTGGGCTACAGGGAAGCCTTTCCAACAGCAACACTGTTTCCCAGAGCATTCTCCTTGGAAAAGCTGACTGGAGTGAACAGGCACACCCCTTGCTGGGTTAAAAACGGTCGGGATGGCTTTGCCCAGAGAGTGGCTGTGAATGGACATCCAGCTGGTGACAGTCACAAGTGACATTTCCCTGAGCTCAGGATTGGGACCAGCCCTGTTCAGTTTCTTGATGATCTAAATGAGGGTGTTGAGTGCACCCTCAGTAAATTCACACCGAGCTGGGCTGGAGTTGATCTGCTGGAGGGCAGGAAGGATCTGCAGAGGGATCTGGGCAGGCTGGATCATGGCTGAGGCCAATGGTGTGAGGCTCAACAAGGCCCAGGGCTGGGTCCTGCCCTTGGGTCACAACAACCCCAGGGAGCTCCACAGGCTGGGGCAGAGGGGCTGGAAAGGACCTGGGGGTGCTGCTGACAGCAGCTGAACATGAGCCAGGGAGTGCCCAGGTGGCCAAGAAGGCCAATGGCATCCTGGCCTGGATCAGCAATGGCGTGGCCAGCAGGGCCAGGGCAGGGATTGTCCCCTGTACATGGCTTCTGTGCTGATGAGGCCACACTTTGAGTCTTGTGTCCAGCTCTGGGCCCCTCACTCCAAGAACAGCACTGAGGTGCTGGAGCAAGGTCAGAGAAGGGCAATGGGAGTGAGGAAGCTGGGTTAGCTTATCCTGGAGAAAAAGAGGTTCAGGGATGATGTTATCACACTCCAGAGCTGCCTGAAAGGAGATTGCAGCTAGGAGGGAGTTGACTTCTTCTCCCAGGAACGACGTGGCAGGGTAAGAGGACATGGCCTTAAGAGGTTCAACTGGGACATCAGGAAAAATACCTTCACAGAACGTGATATTAACCTTTAGAATGTGCTGCCTAGGGAGATGTTGAAGTCACTGTCCCTGTGGTGTTCAAGAAATGACTAGATATGACACTTAGTTCTGTGGTCTAGCTGGCAAGGTGATCAGTTTAAGGTTGGAGTCCTTGATCTTCAAGGTCCTTTCCAAGTCAAAATAATGATGCCAATTTTTAATTTTTTTTTTTTTTTTGTCTCTTATGGAATGCTGCATGATTTTCAGCCAGCCAAAATTGGTTTGGCCTTCCATTATTATGCAAGTTATTCTAGTCTATAAAAGTAGAATGTGTAACTGTAAAGAAAACTGATGGAAAATGAAGATATTATGCTAATTCCTGAAATCAACTTTTCATTATGTTCCTAGAATGTGATGAGTCACCTCAGCTCATGAAGTTATCATGG